CAGTTATCTTGTATATGCATGCTTTTAGTTTGCTTGCTAAATATATAAAGAAGTCCAGTGTAGAAGAACCACTTTGATCTTTATAAAAACCGTTATTTATATAGTAGCCTCTTCTACTTTTTCCAATAAGTTTTCTGTTTTTGTTGGTGTGAAATTCGGTATAAGTGATCGTTGGGAAGAGTTGTATGTAAAATTTTGTTTGTCCATCTAATCAATTGCTATATGGCTTTATAAACATTTTATTATAATATACTTTAAATATCAAAACACTTGACACTATTTCAAATACTATAATCAATTTATATAACCAAATTAAACTATTAAGTAGTATGACTATTCACAATATATTAGATTTATCTTTAATCTTTTCAACCCTAATGGATCTAATACCAAATGAACTTATTAACATCTGTCATCTAAAAAATAACTATAACACTTGTTATCAAGTTTTTACTTTATCTTAATCAACAAATTTATTATAAAATCTGGATTCTATATTGTATCTTAATATTTATAGCTCAAACTCCTGAATATAATACATTTTTAAATATTATCTTATTTTTACTATTTTCTCTTTCACTCAATTCTATTAGTTCAAAAATAAACTCCTGATATATTTAATAGATCAAATATCAAACTAATTCTTTATATATAATTACTAATACTCAAATTTAGATAAGTCTTAGCTACTTTGATTGATTTAGATTACAGATAAATTAGTCTGAACTTCTATTATTTCTATAAAATTTTAAAAGTAAAATTGTACTTTATATAAAATTTCAATTAAATATTCAATAAAGATAGAAGCATGGCCTCACTATTAATATTAAACAAAAAAAAAATTTTTAAACTATTTTAATAATATAAAATAAATTTATTTATAAAAATTATTTTGTACTTTTGATATATTTTAAAATTATTTCAAAATTTTTTAAATATTTTAATATTATTTTATTATTTTTAATATATTTATAAAATTTTTTAAATAATTAAATAATTTTTAAAATATAATTTTGATTTTTTTAGTTTTATTAATTTTTAAATTATTACAAAATAACAAATTTTTTTAAAAATTTCATTTATTTTATAATATTATGAAATTATTTTATTTTAAAATAATTTCATGCCAATTACAGTTATTTCAAAAAATTTTTAGTATGTAAAATCTTTTGCAATATTTTGTATATTTATTTTACTAATGTCTCTATTATAAGATAATAATTAAGAATAACTTTCCTGATAGTAACTTGTTACTGTTTGGTGTAATAAATTGCTTCTAAACATTTACAAAAACAATCAAAAAAATTGGAACTTAGAAATTAAACTTGTATTATTAACAGTAATGTTAATATTTATCTAATAAAGGCCACCAGCATGACTATCTAAGTAAAAAAAATATATATTATTTTAAATTTAATTTTATAATTTTTTAGGTTCTAAAAATGGTATTGCTATATAATTAAAAAATATAAATCCTTTTATAACCTCAGTACATAGTATTGCACATTGTTTACATCTTGTGAGCCAAGATGTAGCTAAAGAAGTTTCTTATTTTAAAGAATATGAGGCTATTTGTAAATCTCTTTATAATTATTTTAATAACTTGTATATATAAACAAATGTTAAATTCCTCACCGTTAATATTTAAAAAAAAAAAAAAAAACAAATGTTAAATTTAAAAATAGTTTAAGAAACCAATGATGATCCACAATTAAATTTGCTTAATATTATTCAAATTCAGTTAGAAATTTACACCAAATTCTTGACTCAGTTAAGTATACATTAAATTACGATATTATATAATTGTTGAAAATGTTCTAACCCTAATGTCTAGGCTAAATTAATTTACTTTTTGGCCAGATTGTCATTTGGGAAAATTTGGGGCACGACATATTGATATATCAATATATAAAAAATTTTTTCGATCGGCAAATCTATACGTATAAAAATAATCTACATGTACTTTACCCTTAAGGAAATTTTTTTTAAGCTACGAGCCAAACGCTACGCCTCGGAGCCTCCCCTCCAAAAAATAGATCCTCTGTGTAATAAATTGCAAAGCTACCAACATCTGAATTTCGCTGTTAGATATCTAAATATTTTCTTTATAATTAAAACCTAGTCTGGGCATACAACATATAACAAGATTTATGAACTTTACTATTAAAAAGTTAAGCCACTAAGTTTTAAATAACCTACTGGTAACAAGTTGAACCACGAATCTCATGCCTAATTAGCGACTACTATAAGTCAAATAGATTGAAACTACATTATTGCATAAGTATGCATGCTTAGTTGAAAAATGATAAATTATAAAATATCAAAATTCTCCTAGAGATAAAGTCGTTAAAAATATTCATTTTAACCGAGAAATGAGATTTTACATAGCAAATTACGTGAGATATGACCCATATGACTCGAGTTGACAAAAATGTCGTTGTAGCCAGATATAGTATTTATATTTCGCGTGCGTACGTACGTAGAGCTTTATATCAGATATATATATTATATAGTATTATATATATATGGTATAAATGAAAATATTTTTATCGGTTATCATCAAGATCCGAAACAAAATCTATTTTATACAACCACAAAAAATCGTCCAAACATTAAGATATGCAGGGGTATAGGAAAACAGGGGTGATGATCTGCATTACTTATAAATATTCTTTATCGTAATTTTTGACTTTTAACAATTATTATAAACATGACCGATCCTGGAAATGCAAACACTCTCAAAAGGGGTGAACTGTATGGTTTCCAGCTTCCGACTCCTAATATAAATGCTTTTGAGGAAAGTTCTGAGCCAGCATCTTTTGCAGGAGGCCCGATTAGGCATCGCAAAAAGCGTAATCATACAAATACACCGTATACGCGAATTGCTAGTTCATCTAATCCAAACCCTCAAGAGACTCACTGGCTGTTGAACATTGTTAAAAAATATATCCCACAGTGGCTGAGATCGTTTATATGGCCCGCAACAATGCCCATCACTGAGGATACACCTATGGAAATAACTTCAACTGAAATTGAAACGATCACGGGGAACATTGTGCAAAGTTCTATAGAGGAACTAAACAACGCAATAGTGAAGCGCGAAGAACAACCCCAACCATCACAATTGGATACAATAACAAAAATGAATTTAAAGAGCAAATTTAACAGATCAAGTTCAAAAATTGCTGCAAGATTTGGCCGTAGGATGTATTCAAACCCTCTACACAGACGAGGGACTATTCCTAGAAAAAGGGTTAATCATGTTTCAGCACGAGAAGAGGACCTCCTTTATCCAGATGAGATAAATGAATCATTATCAGATAAAGAACAACTTCCTGAAATACCAGCGGATTGGTATAAACCTTTCAAAAATTTAGCGGTGAACGATTCATTTTCAACTTCTTCATCGGGAACGTCAACACCCTCACAAGAACCGGAAGCAAGTAAAAAGTCTTTATCCCAAGGACCTCCTCTTAAGAAGTTTAAATCGGATCTTGTTCCAGACATAAATTGGTTCAACTATCACCCTTCAGAGAAAAGGGTGTCCATTCCTTCAAGTTCAACTTCAAAAAACCAAAATATCTCTACTGATGACAATCTACCGAAGGTTCCTTTCAGTAATTCTTTGAGCACTTTTTCCAAACCAGATGATTCTGAATTGTACTTAAAAAATGATGAAGAAATTAGTACTACCCCTTTAATACCACCAAAATTCACTCAAATTGTAAAAAATGAACAATATTATAATGAAACAAAGAAAAAAATTGATTTTACTGCAAATGGATCAGTTAGCAATATTTCTGTTTCCACACCTCCTATTTCAAAAGGTATTTTATCGGTCAGTACTCCTGTTAATAAATCAAAAAGATCATATGATACAGTTTTTACTACTACACCGACGATTAAACCTTCTTTTGGACCTGAAAGCAGAGTCGTAGCAATCAACGAGATACAGGAATCTTCGGATTTATTTTCTAATACAACGACGCCCAAATCTATTTTTGAATTTGAAAATAGGACTCAAAGCACAAACTTAGCTATTAATACACCGTTTAAATCTGTTACCGGATTTAATGGTGAAACTCTTAACTTTAGTCTACCTCAAAAACCTTTGATCGATGCTTTCTCTGTTCCCCCTATTAATAAGAATCAAGAAGAACAACCACCAACAGAACTTATTGTTGATTCTACTGAGGTGGAGGATCAAGGATCCGTTAATCAGAATATTGTCAAACCTCAGGATAAGCCGGAGGAAACCCCAGATGTTACTGAATTAACTGTAGTTAATATTGAACCCGAAAAGGTGGAGCTCACTGAAGTTCAACCTGAACCTGAACCTGAACCTGAACCTGAATCTCATATAGTCACGAGTGTGGAAGAAAGCAAAGATGAGAGAGATAACAAAGAGGAAGAGAAAAGTAAAGATGATAAAGAAAATAAAGATAAGAAAGATAATGAGAGAGCAGAAAGTCAAGGGGGTAATGAATATAAAGGGGAAGAAAATAAGGAAGTCCAAGAAATCGAAGAAAACAAAGAAAGCGAAGGAACTAAAGATGAGCAAGAGAACAAAGAGAAGGAAGTCAAGGAAGACAAAAATAAAGTTTTCGAGTTTTATTCACCCGTTTCTCGAATGCCAACTTTAGCTTCAAGTCCACCATCTGGTTCACCAATGGACATTGATATGGGTAATAGTAACTTAAACCATCAATCCAATGGGGTGTCTAATCCAACTTTCCCCACAGCGCAGTTTAACTTTGGGCTAGGAAATGTTTTCTTTAATGATAATAGTTCGACGGAAGTGTCATCGAGCAATAAGCCTAACTACTCTAGGTCATCAAGTTTTCGAGGAAAAAATCGAAGACATGGTAGTCACTTGGTAGTTGGTAATGAAGGTCGTAATATGTCAATTCCAAAAACGGGGTCTTTTGAAGGGTCAGACTTCAGCAGGATGATGTTACCAGAGGGAAGCTCATTTAGTTTTGAATTACAAAAAGAAACAACAACAATTCCATCCATTCAGCCTGTATCAACATCAACAACATTTAAATTTAACCAAGAGACCCCTAATGCATCTACTGAACCTTTGTTTCAAACTAATGGGGCGACTTTCAATTTTCAATCAAGCTTTCCATCACAACCTTTCTCTGCACCAGTGACCTTTAACTTTGGTGGTGGATTAAATCCCCACCTCCCAGCAACGCAACCAGTTTTTAATATGAACGGTGATAGCCAAGTTTTCCAGAACGGAACGAACACTAATGTACAAAAAAATATACAGTCAAATAACGCTGATAGGCCAATAGCCAAACTGCGTAGACGTCGAATTAAATAATAGTAGTAGAGTTTAGAACCAGGTTATAGTCACCCGTACAACTCAGGTCAAACCGGTTGAATATGTAACCGCTAAAATCTGTTACTATTACGAACATAAAATTTAACACATTATTATTGTATTGTGAAAATAAGCACACTTTTTTTCTTACTAATTTATCTAAATGTTCAGTCCTATAATCTGGATTTACAAGCTTTCGGAGGCTACCATACGACTATCTATTGCGAAAATTTTGGCTAAAAATTTTCGTTTGTATAAGCCTTCATTATTATTTTCATTGCTTTGCTAATATGTAATACACCAGTGTTCTCAAATTACTTTAAATGACTCAAATGACTTAATGATCCGGTCATTTGTCATTTAGAATAAAATGACCCACATATATGTAGCCATTTGAAATATACAAACCATTTATTTGTTAATTAGTTTTTTAAAAAATATATACAGTATAATTTGTTGGTTTAAAATATAAGATATAATGATAATAGTTTATCTATCTCGTGAAACTAGTTTATTTACCTGTGATATTAACTTAATTGACAATTCGCGATAGAAGGAGGATATTTTTATAATAAAATATATTAAAAAATATATTAATACAGGAATTATGATTTATATAAAAATTTAAACTTAAATTGCTTGTAACTTTCTATATATCTAACCAATTTTACCGGTTTTACTATCATTGGAATCGTAAATTTAGCTCCATAACTTTCATTAGACTCCCACAAGATGTTAGCTTAATAAAATTTAACTTTCAATAGTCAGGAATACTGATTTCTATATTTTTAGCATTAATGATTATCACGAATTATTTAACCAATTAGACTATTCTATAAACCATATTTAATATAACAATGAATTTTTCGAATCAATTATTAACACCTCTTAATGATGGCAGTTAAGTGCTGCCGATGGAAAACCGGGCTTTGGTGAGTTTATAACTTATGAAAATTCATATTGGCTGAATCTGTTAAGTTTTAAACTCAAGGCGACTTTCTTGGTAGCACTCATATATATTTGTGATCAAGTTACAAATGACCAACTAAATGTCCAATTGATTAAAATCGTTTGGTTAAATGACATAACTAAATGACCTATAAAAGTGAATCATTCAGGGTGACCACCACTTTTGTGGGTCTCCTGATCCCCGCCACAGCCGCAGGAACCTCACCGCAGCAACAGAACCAATCAAATAGAAGTCACAGGACATTCTCAGATAATCAAATTTTTATTTTTTTTTAAATTCAACGTACTGTAACAGGTAAAGGTGCATGTTCAACTTAAAGAACTTTTAAAATACTTTGAAGATACTTTTTTACAGATGTTTAAATTTATTTTTCTTACTTTTTTTATTATTTATAATTAAATAACTTGGGTATTATAGGGTTAAAAAATTTTTTTTAACAGATGTAATAAAGGCTAAGTAACTTCTTAAATTACATTATATATTAATTTATTAGTTATTTGACAATATTTTGACTAATTATTATATAACAATTACTTATCATCTTTAATAATAATTAATTTTAATATATTATTATTGTTATATTTTTTTTTACACTTAATTCATCTGAGAGTGGTAAGTACATTAAAATATTTTTCTACTTTCTGGGTTTCAAGTGGTTAATTAATGTTTCTTACATTTTATAGATTGTATTTTTTTCTTTTATTTGTATTAATTTATTTTAATCTATTATAGTTCAAAGATGATATTAATTATTAAATGATCAAGCAGTATTTATTTGTTTTATTGCTTGTTCAATTAAAGATCATTTTGCTTTAATATAAGCATGAATATTTTTTTTAAGTCTTTATTAAGATTAATATTCTTAATAATTTCAATAGATGTAATAGCTATTATAAGCAATAAACTTTTTATTACTTTATTAACATTAAAATTTTTAATAATAAGAAAAAATGATGAAATTCAATATTCAAAATCATCTTTAAGTAGTTATTACTATATATTATTAAACATATTTACTATCTGTTAAACTAAGTGCTTGCATATTAGGAAGTAATTTTAATAAAAGTTAAACAATTACAGATCTAGTAAAAAATCTCAATAAAATATCAATCAATTGAGTCAGCTGAATTAGAAATCATTTGTATTTTATTATATTTTTTTGTTTTTTTATATTTATTTACACATATTTATGCTTTTTTTTATTATTTGTACCTGTATATATTTATTTATTTTTAAAATTTTTCTATAAATATAGGTTTATAGTACTATTTAGAAGTTGTAAAAGTTGATTCATTTGTAATATTATTACTTCTTTAAATAGTGTTTAAAACAGAAGATCTAATCTAGAATTATTAAATCAATGAAGATAAAGATGTTTGATAACTTTCTAGTAGGTTTGATTTTTATAGTTGTCTTATTTAAAGATATTGTATATTTGACAGATTAAGTTTATAAGTGTCATTGATTAGATAAGTACCAATTTGTTCAAAGATATAATTATAATAGTTGCAGTTTATTTTTTTTATAAAATTAGTATATTTTGCATATAGTATTTTTTCTGATATTAGTTAATAATATTGTGTTTTCTTAAATATTAATAGGTATTAAGAGATGTATGTTGAAGTGTTTTTTACTAACTTTAAACCTAATTTTTAGAATTTTATTAAACAAATAACATAAGTTTTTAAATTATGATCTTGATCTATAAAATAGAATTCAGGATCAATAAAATCGAATTTGCTTATTGCTTGAGTAATATTATAAGTTATAGATATTAGTTCTGTATTTTTTAGCTTAGATTTTTCTTTTAGCTTTAGTTTAATAGCTCTATTTATATACTATATACAAAGCTAAATAACTGTAGATCTTTATACTATTATTACTATATTAATTTCTCTAAAACCTTTATTTATAAACACAAAATACAGTTCAATATTACATTTTTTCACTTTTTTAAAAAAGTTTTCTAGTATTTATAGTATTTTTCTGTACTAGTATTCATGTTCACTGTTTTAAATATATTAAATATTAAATATACTATTGTAAATCTAGCACCTTATATATTAGCTATTATATCAAAAAGTTTATAACTCTCTTCTGCAGGCTTATATATTGAATCTATATAGGTTCTATTCTTATTAAGCCTTTTATTCTTAATCTTATTCAATATCAGAGTGGTAAAGCTAATAGTAACTAACTCTAAATTATATATATATAAGTATTGACAAAAGCCTTAATCATTGTTTTCTGCAAGTAATCTGCATGCAGATTCAACCTGATTATTATAACATTAAAATGTGTTGTGATTTATTATAGACTTTTAGTAGTATATATGTTTATGAAAAAACTTTAAAATATCAAACTTTTGGCATCACAAGTAGGTTATTAACTTTACAGTAATAAGATGCATATATAATTTGATTTTTTTCTACAAATAATTAGGCATCTTAGTGCAAAAGTCTAATTATATATAAAGAGATCTATAATAAATATTTACTGCTGCAATACTAAAAATAATATTAACATTAACTACTTTTTTTTTTTTATAATTATAATATACATAGCATTTCTAATTAGAGTCTTTGTATTCCTTATTTTGCACTTATATTAATTGGCAACACATATAAATAAAACTACCAACTGTGTCAATATATAAATTTTTTTAATTAGTCTTGTTTTTTAAAACTAAGATAATATATTATTAATTAAAATTAATTAGTTATTATTATATATTATAGTAAAACCAGATTATAGTAAAATTTAAAGTCTATTTAAAAGTATAAATTTTACTAAAATATATCTAAATTCTTTTTAAATTATTCTAATTCTAAATTCTAATCTAATTACTCAAATAGAAATTAGAACTAGTCGTAAATTTAAAAACTAAATTGGACTAATTAAAAAACTAATTTAAGAATAGAGAGCAGTATTTTAAAATTATATATAAACCTAAAAATAATTTTTTTTATATTTAATTTTATAAAAAATTATATTAAGTAACCTAATTTTAATTATTAAGTAAAAATTGTAAGGTAGGTCTTTTTAATTCTAATAATAATAAAATTATTAAAATAGATTAAAAACTCATTAAGATATGAATTTTAAAAATTAAAATATAAAATTATAAAATAAAATTAACTAATAGATTTACATAAATTAATCAATCAAATTCTTTGTTTTTGTACTATCTAAAAAAATTTTAACCCATCTAAGTAAACTTTATTATATATACAAGTATATTTTTTTAAAATAATACAATACATCAAAATTTTATCATAATAAATAAATAATTTTATTTATAATATTATAAAATTTTTTTATTAATTAATTAAAAAATAAAAAAGTTTTATTA